CGTATATCGTCTCTCCAGCTCGTATCTCTCTCACCCCGAGTCGATTCTGTTCAGCGCCGCTTCATCGGATGCCCAAACCGAGCAATTTGAAGAAGTCCAAACTCGCGCGGCGCCACGTCTCTTCGCTCAAGACCTCCGCCTCCGGGCACCGCTGAAACGCCGCCTGATTGGTGGCCAACTCCGCCTTGAACGAGTGCCCGTGCTGCATGCCACGCAGAAGCAGCTGCAGGCTCTCTTGAACAAAGAGGGTCTTCCGGTTCCACGTGTAGAGGCCAAGAGCCTCTCCGTCGAGATGGATGGTGTGCGCCTGGTCGAGGCAAGTACAATGATAGAGGCGCACTCGAACCCGCTGGCTCCATTGCGAAGCGGTCACTGAGGCTTCCACCCAATCTTCAACCCAGGATCCGCCGCAGGGAGGGGGCTCGAGTGGGCATGGCGCGCTCAGCATGCCCAGATCCGACAGCTCCGCAAAATGACAGTCCCTCAGCCTGCTGACCCGAACCGGCCCCCCTCGGAGGATAGTGACCCATGGGTCATGGAAGTTCGGCGCATCACTGAGCCTTGCAAGCTTTGGTTTCGTCAACTGGACCGCTTCGGTGCCAATCAGCATCACGGGAGACATAATGCGCTCCTCCTCCCCATGGTTACACCCCCCCCTGAATGCTACCGACTCCAGCGTACAGCTCGAGCATGTAGTCACCCAGCCGTGGATCGCATCCTTCCCCCGAGCATCTGGGGAAGGTTTGGGCGACTCTGAGGGGCGGCTGCGCATTGGCGCCTTTGCTTCCTCCTTCCAGAACGCCTTCGATCTGCGTACTCGCTTGCGAGCAGGTTGCTTCATGGTGACGCCACTTGTTGCCCCCTCGCTTGCCGCAGCTACCACCTCCCTTGCCTCCGACGGCGGCCGCGCTTCATCAAAGAGGGAGGCATGCTTGCGACAGAAGCACGAGCTTCCGACACAGGCTGCCGCCGTGTGTGGCTGTCTTGCCAGAAGACCCAAGAGATAGCGCTGCTCCTCCGTGAGCGCTTCTTCCCCTTGCTCCCCATTGCATGCTTCCAGCCCGTCTGCTCGAGTCGCCTCCACCGCAGACCCCAATCAGAGGCAGCGTGCCGTTCGATAATTCCAACCAACTTGCGGCAGCCCTTGCAAGCGGCCCTGACCCAAGAACCAGCTCTTCCGTAACGGGATGTATCCCGTTACTAGGACCAGCCTTTGCCGCGCCTATATGAGAACATTCCGTCAACGACGGGCATCCATCTCGCTTTCCTTGGCAATACCAGGCCCCACTCTTGCTCTGAAACACCATCCGTCGTGAGACACTATGGGGGTTGTCAAGCACGGCAAAGTAGCTCCCCTTCTCGTCCGACGCAAGTTGCTCCACCCTCACTCCCTGCCCCAGCATCTGCCGTGTTGGCAGCTCCGCCCCCTGGATCCAGCTCTCGCTGAGTGCGGCCATTGCAAACTTGTGAACACATGGCGCATTATGCGTCAGTCTTCCCCGGTCGCACGTGCAGCTTAGCTCGCCAACCATGTTCCACCACACCGTCTCTGCCAGCGCAAACACCTTGTCCGGCTTTCCAAGAGGTCTTGGTTTGCCGCGCCCATTGTGATCCCAACCTGTCATGTACAGCCTCAACGGCGGGCATGCGCTTTCAGCCGGCACAAACACCCGGCAGACCCCTTCGCCAATCAAACCCAGGTAACGCAAAGCCTGGCTCTTGATGCCCGTCTCTACACTGAGCTCCCTATCATCTCTTGCCTGCAAGGGCCGGCCAAATCGATCAGGCCCAGGCTTCTCCGCGATCCGTCAAGCATCTCAAAAATCAAGCTTCCGTTCCTTCGAAATCATGATTGGCAAGAGTGATTGGCATTCGTGGCCGGCTATCTCATGCTCTGGGTTCTTTTCTGGAAATCAAAGCACCGGATGGAAGTCAAGGCGTTGCATTATATGCACTGATACTTAAGGCAATTTTGATGAGCCCTGCAAAGCGGCACCATCATCCAATTCGACTTTACCGTCATTGTCACGCTGTGTGGCCTCGTTGCCGTGACGGCTCGGATGCACGTGCTAGTTGTGCCTCATGCTAGTTAGTAAGGCTTTTCGCCATTCGTGCATATAGGGTTTCCACCCATCACGCCGTTAGGGTTTCCCAGAGGAATTGCATGTGGCCATGAGCCACCGTTTGCATGTCCATTGCATGAAGATCGCGCCCGGTTATTCATCGCCCGTGACCGCAATTGAGCCACGTCGACCCGGCGTGCACTTTAGTGCCCGGCTGTCGCGAGTACCAAATCGGGTACGTACCGAGTGTGCGTACTTTTGAGATAAGGTCGGATAACCGCACGCGCGACGCGACTCCGGGATTGCGCGTATGCAG